TGTACTGGGTGGGTGAACATGCCAAGTTGGATGTTTCGGGACGCGTGCGGACGGTGGCACTGGCGCCTTCGGTGGAGCTCCCTTTGGGGCCACGAAACGCTGTACTGGGTGAATGAAACGCAGGGAGGAGGGAGGAGGGGAGGAGGGAGCGAGGAGCCCAGGAGGGAGGGAGGAGGCACACTTATTCTCACCAGGAGGTCTGGAACCCCATCAGACACCCTCCTGCAGATAGGGCAGGACAGCCGCACATCCTGCCCATCAGCGGTTGTTATGGGAGATGGGTCGCCACCGCCGAGATGGCGATCACGGCCCACCATGGGCTGGCGCCGCCAGCGCAGTCCAGAGCAGATGGACGCACGCTCGAGGTCAAGCTAGTCAAGGAGGCCTGCCACGTCAAGGATCAGCCGTTGCACGATGGCGTCGCAGCATGGTGGCACCGAGGGCATACGATCTTGAAGCAGGCGCGCCGTCACGGGCGTCGCCGCAACGGCGAACTGCAGGTGATGCTACTGGCCAGGTCGGCCCAGAGTTTAGCTGACCAACCTCTGGACGGAGCAGGAGCTAACTTTGCGGCCGCACCTGGCGTCTCGTGGTCCTCGTTTCTGGCGGGCCTCAAGCGCCTTCAGGAGCTCGGCGCCGGCGAGCTCGGCCGGCTCGAGGAGGTGGCGCTGCGGTCCGCTCGACGCGCTCAGAACGGGGCGGCGTCGGCGTCACTCCGAGAATTTCAGAGGTGGATTGGTTCGGTCGACAGCTTGGGCGCTATTCACAGGTCCATCAAGAATCAAGAACCCGAGCAGGACGAATGCCATGTCAGAGGCCAGAGGCTGGTGCACCCGAGGGATATCGTCGATGCTCAGATAATAAAGTGGCGCAGCCTTTGGTCGTTGGAAGTTTCAGGGCATGATGAAATCATGAAGGCGTGCGACCTCATCCATGAGCACGCCGTCGTGGAGCAGTTGGGGCCCTTGTCCATAGACGAGGTCAGGACTGCACTGAGTAGAATGAAGCCCCGCGCGGGGCAAGGAGTGGATCGGTCATCGCCTCTGGACTTTGCCAGACTTCCAGACGACGCGATTCAAGATCTCAGCAAATTGTTCACGATTATTGAGCAGGGCCTCAGTTGGCCCTTCGCGCGCGAGCCCATCGTGCCAGAGTGGGCCGACCAGCAGGACGACTGCTGGGACGCGGCCATCTCAGGGAACAGTGCCCTGAGGGAGGCGTTCGTGAGAGCGCTGGAGGACGAGGTGCAGACCCCTGTGCGGCTGCCCGACGGTCCGGCGCTGCTCGACGTTGAGGCCTTCTACGACGGCATCGAGTGGCCCACCCTGGCGGAGTGTGCGATCAGGAAGGGCTACCCCCCCGTGGTGCTGCTCCTCGAGATCCAGCGTTGCATGGCGCCGAGGATGTTGTCGCAGCTGGACTCGTGCTCGTTGCCGTTCCAGGCCACCAAGTCAATTACTCAAGGCTCGAGAAGCGGAACTAGGTTCGCTAAGTGCCTCACGGCCGTCGTGCGCGAGAAGCTGGCCATCGCGCACATCGCGATGTCGGAGAGGATCTGGGTCGATGACTTGCTGGAGCGAGTGCCTGGCAGTCGAGCTCACGTTCGCAAGGTACGCCTGGGCATCGCGGCCAAGAGTGTCGTCGTGTGCTCATACCACCAGGGTGCCGCCCATGTTTCACGCCAGCTTCGGCATCGCGGCATCGAGATCAAGCCGATGCTCCAGTCAGCCTACTTAGGAGTTGACCTGGCTGGAGGGCGACGGCACGGGCGCGACGCAGCGCGCAAGAGAGTGAAGAAGTCAGGTGCTGCCCATCAGCGCATACGTCGCATCGCTGCCACAGCAAGGAGGCGGACTTCAACGAGTCTGATTCAGCGGACTGGTCCACAAGCTTCGGCAACGTATGGACATCAAATGTTGGGTGGTGTTGGATCGGTGATGCTCAGTCACCGTCGCAGGCTTGGGGCAACGGCAGGTTCGGCCAACCGAGGCAGGTGCTCAACCTCGCTTCTTGCAACTCGCCTCCCAGGAGCCGACCCAGGAGCTGTGCCACCCCGCCTGTGTCTCAGCCAATGGTTTGACTCTTGGCTTCGTGAGCTACGGCTTCGTTCCTCCGTGATGTTGGCGTGAGGCAGGGCAGCGGCTGCCCTTCAGGGCGCTCCTGCCAACCAACGCAGTCGTCATGTGAGAAGTCCATTGCCTTCTGTTGTGCTGTACTTGGTACAGGCTGGGTGGCGATTGAAGTCGGCGACGGAATGGCAGGTGCCGAGTGGCGGGAGCAACATGGAGCACACGTGGGAGTTCTCGACGGATGCTTTTGTTGGCCTTGATCAGGCGCAGCCTCTTATCAAGGAATTCGAAGACACCCTGCACTTGCAGCTGCGGCAGGAGGCTTCGGAGCTCTTCTGTGGCGGCGGGCTGGAGCAGGGAGCAAATTGGTAGAGCTACAGGTCCTTCATCGCATCGCTGTTGCATGCGAAGCGAGGCCGTCAGTTACCGGAGCTCATGGTCACGATCGCCCCAGGCGGGTACTGGACGCAGCAGAGGAAGCTAGAGGCCAATCTTGGTGCAGTCGGACGTGTGCGAACGGTGCGGCGAGGGGCCAGACACGCCTCTCCACCGCAATTGGCTGTGGGCTGTGTGAGAAAAACAGAGGCTCACCAGCGTTTTCGCAATCAGACGAGCTGGTGGGCAAGGCCATCGCCGAGCACGAATCGTGTCCCTGTTTTTGGATGCGAGGCGTTATCCCCAGTGCCTGGACTAAGGTCACGCCACCTGCGACGGAGGAATGCTTTCTCGGCGGAAATCTGGTCCACGGGCGCCTCGGTCCTGGGTGCCTGGGCCAGGGGAATGTCAGCTCCCCGCTCCTGGTGTTCGGGGACGCCTCTGGGGGCAAGGACACTCATGACAGTAGGCTCCGTCGCGTAGGCAGTGCCGTGGCTGTTTTCACTAGTGTTTCGCCGTGCGTCCTGGGAGCCCATCTTATCGGGCCCCTAGTTGGGCCAGCTCAATCGGTCCCGAGGGGGAGCTCCAGGCGTTCGCCTGGTGCATTCGCTTTTCCCTCGGCCCTGTCGTGTATATTACTGACTGCGCCGAGGTCGCCAGGGGGTGGTAGGCGGGCGCCTCCCAGAGCCCTTCTGGCCCCCAGGCTGATTTGTGGCGTTTTATCGGGGCCACACTTGTAGAACAAGGGCGCAACATCGGCGACATATCAGTGATTCAAATCCCGTCCCACCTCACGGCGCAGGAAGTCGTCGAGCAAGGGTGGGACGGGTGGCTTATTCAAGGTAACGTGTGTGTAGATGTGTTAGCTGGAACTGCGGCCGATCAGGCCAGAATTCCCGAAATCGATATATATATATATATATATATATATATATATAATGTGCACCGTGTTAAACGCAAAGCTCGATTGGTGAGGAGACGGATTCTCAGAATAGGGTCAGAATCCACTGTTGCTGCTCAAGGGTCCAGGGATGCCTGGGGAGCCTCTAGTGCTCCCGTGGGCGCTCCTGCTCCGAGGCCTCCGCCACCCAGGGCCCCTGCACGCTTTGCGACTGCCCACGCCCTGACCGAAAATGGCAGAGCGTGTTCGGTTAAAGGGAAATTAGGACACACAAATAAATACACACAAATAAAAATAGTCCCCATATTTTCCCATATTTTCTGGGTTTTTGTCTTCCCCCCAATTCCCATAGTTTCCCATATTTTCCTGGGAATCGAGGATTAATTCTGTCTGTGTGTGTTTTTTCCCTCCTGATGTGTGTCAGTTCGACCTCGAAGCTTACGAGGAGTCCGAGTGGCTAAAAAAGCGAGTGCGCGCCCCCGCTCCTGGTGAATGCCAAGCTGTCCCGAGCTCCCCTTGGACGGAGTTTACACTTGGCTGGTGGCTTGCAAAAAAACCCCTCACAGGAACGAAGGATTGCAAAAAAAACTAGGTTTTTTTGTGCAATCCTTCGTTCACGAAGGTTTTTTTTGCAATCCTGGTTTTTTTTTGCAATCCTACGCACCCCTCACACGCCCTTCGGTTTCACAAAGACCTTGGAATCTGGTTTTGTGGGGCTTGCGGGTTTGTCGGTCAGGCCCAGCTCAGGGGCTTGGGCAATCCTTGTCAACCCCACTTAATCGCCGAGGCCAGGCGCGAGTATCTCGATAAGATCGATCGCGACCTGTTTCCCAAGTGCTGAGCGTAGCCTGGTTATCACTACGTGATGGCGGAAATCCTGGAAATCCTCCTTCTTCCTCCCTTGAACAATCGGCCCTTTCCAGAAAATTAGATCGTTCAACGTCGATCGATTCTGGGTCGACAGCGGCGCTCCACATTGAACGTCGGCGGCGGGGTCGCCGCCGGTGATGCGAACCTACCGTGCCCCCATCAACCATCGGCCTCTGAATTGATGGGAGACGGGGGTAGGGGTCGGATCTCACCACGAGTTCGACGAACTCCGAACCCCACCGCGCCGCCCGTCGAGTTGCCTGAATCCTTGATCGGCAAGGATAGGGCTCGGATTTCGACGCCGATAGATCTGACGCAGGCCCCGCCTGGGGCGGAGGCCTTGGCCTAGCTGAACCCCCATCCCTGGCGTGCGGAATGCGCCAGGGGCGGCGCTGGAGGCGCCGCCAGGGGGGCCCAGCTTCGATCCAAGAACCTCCTGGCCGATTGTCGCCCACGATGCACGGCCCGCAGCGTCCATTTCTTCCTCCCCTCGTCTCCTCGTCCTTCTGCTCCTCCTCCTCCTCCTCCTCCTCCTCCTCCTCCTCCTCCTCCTCCTCCTCCTCCTCCTCCTCCTTCCTCCCTCCTCCTCCTCCCCCTCCTCCTCCTCCAACTCCTCCTCCTCCTCCTCCTCCTCCTCCTCCTCCTCCTCCTCCTCCTCCTCCTCCTCGCACCGGCACGCTCCTGGCGTGCCTGCCTCCCGGCTCGTCTGCATGCCCTGACCCGCCTGTGCGCCGCCAAGGCGCCTGTGGCTGCGCGCGCGCGCGTGCCGCGGCACGGCCCGCAGCTCCTCGGAGGGCCCGCCGCTCAGGCATCCAGCCGCCCTCCACACGCCCAGACCCCCGATGTCGTGATTTGTTCACAGCGCCGACCCCCAGAGCTATGATGCCCCAACCTGCAGTCGGGCTGCTGAAAGATTGAACGATAAGCAAGGAACGACGCCCCTTTTTGGCCCCACAAGCGCCTGCGTGCACGAGGAAGCCTAGAGGAACAGCAATAGAAGGACCTAAGGAACATCGAGCCCCTTTCTTACCCAAACTTTGCTTTATGTCAACGACTTGGCTGTACTGTCGCCTTGGCAACCCGAGAGAATGCTGAGCGCGAGGCAAGCATCGACACTGCTTCGGCACTTTGCCATCGTGTCGGGCAGACACTGTTTCGATGCCTTCCAAGGAGCTCGACATTATTTCTCGGATGTGGTCCTTAAGTACAATGGAGACATCATAACCCCCAAAACTGGACCCTTCCCCAGGACCGGTCTTTCATCCTGAACCACTTTCCGACGGTTCCGAGATCCAATGAGGATCCCCGGAGACCGAAAATGGCGAACAAACTCCCGTCGTGATTTCATCACTAGAAGCAAAAAACGCCATAAGAATAAACGTTTGGCGATCCGCGCGGCATTCTTGGACCCGCGCAGGGCCCACTGGCGGCGCCTCTCTTTGAGCAGGGACCGACCGTCTCCTATAGGCCTACCACGAAATACTCCTAGAACCCAGAAGTGTTCGAAAAACAAAAGCAATGTTCACATAGCACAAACCCGACGCGCTAAAACAAGGCAGTCCCAGCCAGAAGCGTTCTAAGAACACTTCGTGACAATCGCAGAAGGTTCTTATAACATTCTTCGGTGGGCCTAGAGGATCGCCAGGACGCTTCGCCACTGCTTAAAAGTCTTTTCGTCGTGCCTTCTTCAGCACGCCAAGGGATCCTCAATCGGCCTCGGGACCGACACGAAACGACCTGGGAGGAAAAAACCGGCCATGTGGGGGGGAGGAGGAGGTGGAGGAGGAGGAGGAGGAGGAGGAGGAGGAGAAGGAGGAGGAGGAGGGAGGAGGAAGGAGGGAGGAGGGAGGAGGGGAGAGGAGGAGGAGGGGGAGGAGGAAGGAGGAGGAGAGGTGGATGTGGAGGTGGAGGAGGAGGAAGGAGGAGGAGGAAGGAGGGAGGAGGAAGGAAGGAGGAAGGAGGAGGAGGAGGAATAGGAGGAGGAGGAAGGAGGAGGAGGAGGAGGAAGGAGAGGAGGAAGGGAGGGAAGGAGGAGGAGGGAGGAGGAGGGAGGAAGGGAGGAAGGGAGGAGGAGGAGGAAGGAGGAAGGAGAGGAGGAGGAGGAGGGGAGGAAGGAGGAGGAGGGAGGAGGAAGGAGGAAGGAAGGAGGAGGAGGAGGAGGAGGAGGAAAGGAGGAGGAGGGAGGAGGAGGGCGTGACTTCACCACACCAGGGGGTCTGGGCCCCCCCCCCCTGCGGAGCGGAGCCCGCGCCCCGCGGCGCGCGGCCCCGCCCCCCTGCGGGCGGCGGCCTCTCGCGCGGCCCCCTCCGGCCAGGCGGGGCGGCCCTGCAAGCCTTCGAGCCGAGGGGGAGGTCGGGAGGACAAGGAGGGGAGGGGGGGGGAGGAAAAGGAGGAGGAGGAGGAGGAAAAGGAGGAGGAGGAGAAGGAGGAGGAGGCAGGAGGAGGAGGAGGAGGAGGAGGAGGAGGAGGAGGAGGAGGAGGAGGAGGAGGAGGAGTGCGAGAGTGAGGAAATCGCAGAAGCGAGTAGGAGGAGGAGGAGGAGGAGCAGGAGGAGGAGGAGGCAGGAGAAGGAGGAGGAGGCAGGAGGAAAAGGAGGAGGAGGGGAAGAGGAGAAGGAGGAGAAGGTGGAGGAAGAGGAGGAGGACGGGGCAGGAGGAGGAGGAGGAGGAGGAGGAGGAGGGAGGAAAGAGGAGTCTGACTCTGACTCTGATTCTGTCTTGTGGCGAGGCCCGCGCGAGGGGGCAAGGTCCTCGAAAGAAGGTGACGACGACGATGACGACGACGACGATCACGGCACGACGAAGGTGAGACAGGCGGCAACCCTCTCGCAGGGGGGCAAGCACGGGGTCGGTGGCCAAACCTGGGCAGGTGCCCGGGCGCACGGAAAACAACATCAACCTCGAAGACTGTCAAATGTCAGAGAATTGGTGCGGTAGGGCCTGGAAATATATTCAGACAATCGACGTATTCAATTTTGTACACTCGACGTGCCTGGAAGATCGAGAAGGAAGAGGAAGATAGCGGAAGGTACTAATCGCTTTAGCGCCGCGCACACTCGCTATAAACAACTTGCACGAATTTCACGGACTGAGGAGGGCTCGGTCTCACAATACAACTCTTGCCTTAACGCTGCGCACATTGGATTTTGACACTGTGTACGAGTTTCACGGGTTGAAGGCGGCTCGTTTTCAGAATCGTTTTCTCGCCGTAATGCCGCGCACACACGCTATACACATTTGAACGATTGACGGCGGCTCGGTTTCAAAATGTAGCTATCGCCTCAACGTCGCGAACATTGCCGGGTGGAAGGCAGCTCGGATTCAAAGTCTAGCTTTCGAAAACAACACGTTCGCAAGCTTCACGGATTGAGGGCGGCTTGTTTTTTTTGCTTTTTCTTTTAAAAAAATAGCTCTCGCCTTGGCGCCGCGCGCATTCGCTATACAACTCTGCGCGAAGTTCTCGGATTGAGGTCAACTCTGTGTCAAAACGTATCTCTCACCTGAACGCCATGCAACTTTTCTCTTTTACGATTGTCACGGGTTGAAGGCGGCTTGTATTCAAAATCTTGCTCTCGCCTTAGCGCCTCGCGCATTCGTTTCAAAAGTTTGCACAAGTTTCACGGAGTGAAGGCAGATTGCTGTTTTCGCTTTAGCGCCGCGCAAACTCGTTATGAAAAACTTGCACGGATTTCGTGGGTTCCGACGGCTCGGTTTCATAATATAGCTCTCGGTTCAGCGCCGCGCACATTACTATCTCAAAGACGAGCACGAAATTCACTGATTGAAAGCGGTTCGTTTTCTTACATATATATCTCGCCTTAGCGCCGCGCGCACTGGCTATGCAAACGTGTGCGAGTTACACAGGTAAACGGCGGCTCGGTTTCATATAGCTCTCGCCTTGGCGCCGCGCACAGATTGAATCGATCGAGATAAAAAATGAGGAATACGCGCGCGAGGTTCACGGATTGAAAGCGGCTCCTTTTGAACATCTAGCCCTCGCCTTAGCGACACGCACATTCGCCTTGGCGCCGCGCCCTTTTACGATCCCACTTGCAATGTTTGATGGGAAATGTCTTTCCGTCGGCTGTCCTGGGGGGTGGCCCATCCAAGGGTAAGTGCCGCCTCCGCCCCGCACGGAGCGTTATCTGAGCACCGCGGACCCGAGAACAAGTATCTCGTTCCCGCGAGTGGTCGTAGGAGTATTCAGCGTGTGACAATGCAACTTACTGACCGAAATCGTGATCGTAGCCAACGTACTAGTAGCATTGTAGTAGTAGTACTAGTAGTAGAAGGAGATATCGTAGTAGTAGTAGCAGTAGTAGTAGAAGTAGTAGTAGTAGTAGTAGTAGTAGTAGCAGTAGTAGTAGTAGTAGTGGTGGTGGTGGTAGAAATGTGATGGAAATCGTACACATAAGAAACTCGTACTACTAGTAATAGTACCAGTACTAGTACTAGTACTAGTAGTAGTAGTAGTAGTAGCAGTAGTCGTAAAAGAGTAGTACTAGTCGTAGTCGTTTTGGTGGTCGTAAGCGTGGTAGTAGTAATAATATTAGTAATAGAAATAATGACGGTACTACTGGTAGTGTTTATAGTAGTCGGAATCGTTGCAGTAAGTCGTCGACCTAATTGCAGTAGCAGTAGCAGAAGTAGTGTAAAAACAGTAGTAGTCGAAGTAGTAGTAGCAGTAGCAGCAGTAGTAGTAGTAGTAGTAGTAGTAGTAGCAGTAGTAGTAGTAGTAGTAGTAGTAGTAGTAGTAGTAGTAGTAGCCGTCGTCGTCGTCGTCGTAGCAATGGTAGTCGTAGTCGTCGTAGCTGTGGTAGTAGTAGTAGCTGTGGTAGTAGTAGTAGTAGTAGTAGTAGTAGTAGTAGTAGTAGTAGTAGTAGTGGTAGTAGTAGTAGTAGTAGTAGTAGTCGTAGTCGTAGTCGTAGTAGTAGTAGTAGTAGTAGTAGTAGTAGTAGTAGTAGTAGTAGTAATAGTGGTAATCGTAGCTATGGTGATGGCAATACTTGGATAGCACGTGTAAAAACTACGTCCACGCACCCAGAGATACAATGCAATAGTTGAACGACTACGGCGAACCACTTGGTACGAGTAGCAACCCTGCTGGCATCAGGCTCCAACAACCGGATGAACAAAACACGTCGCCATGGCTCCTCCACGCTACAAAAACTAGGCCTGAGGAATAGTATGCCAGAATACGTAATGCTAGTAATACTTAAAGTTAGGATGTCGTCCTAGTGCTATTCAATCCTGAAAATGGTACTCGGTAGCGGTAGCAGTAATTGCGGATGAAATAAATTTTTAAAAAGAGTAGTGGTACCAAGGGGGGTAGGTCGCAGGAGTGGTTGATTTTAGACGCTGGAGAAATAATACGAATTGAAAGACTAGACGCAGAAGTAGCAGTCGTTAGTCTTGCAATGCGGTCGTAATAGTAGCGGTATTCAGTAGTAGCAGGAAAAGTAATAACTGTAGCGTTAATAGAAATAATTCTAATACTGCGGAATTGCGGGTTTGAATCCAAGTCGTCCTTTCTCTTTCTGCCCACCGCCCCAGCCCTAGACGATTCCTATTGCAATCCTTACTGGGAAGTTGATTTCCGTCGGCTGTCCTGGGGGGCCATCCCAGGATAGCGCCCCCCGCCCCACACAGCGCGATATCCTCAGGCACGCGGAGCAGCGAAAACAAGTACTTCCCGCCGGCGAGTAATCGTTGGAGTAGACATCGTAAGCCTGTGGAACGAACTTATAGTAATCGTAGCGATAGTAGCAGTGGTAGTAGCAGTGGTGGTAGTAGTAGTAGTAGTAGTCGTCGTAGTAGTAGTAGTAATTGTTGTTGTAGTCGCAGTAGTAGTGTAGGACAAGTAGCATGAGTAGTAGTAGTAGTAGTAGTAGTAGTAGTAGTAGCAGTAGCAGTAGCAGTAGCAGTAGCAGTAGTAGTCGTCGTCCTAGTCGTAGTAATAGGAGTTATAGTAATAGTAGAAGTAGTAGTAGTAGTAGTAGTAGTCGTCGTACAAGTAGTAGTCGTAGTAGTAGTAGTAGTAGTAGTAGTAGTAGTAGTAGTAATAGTAGTCGTAAGAGTCGTAGTAGTCGTAATAGTACTACTACTACTACTACTACTACTACTACTCGTAAAGTAGTAGTAGTAGTAGTAGTAGTAGTAGTAGTAGTCGTAGTAGTAGTCGTAGTAGTAGTAGTAGTAGTAATAGTAGTAGTTGTAGTCGTCGTAGTAATAGTAGAAGAAGAAGAAGTAGTAGTAGCAACGGTAAGTCATCGTAATAATAACAAACAAGTAATAGGTAATTGTAAATGGTGCAAATTATTCGTAGAGCCGACCTGAATCCGTGAAACGAGTGCAAGTTTGTCAAGACGAATGTGCCGGGCACTGAGGCGAGAACAAGATTGGGAAAACGAGCAGCCTTCCATCTGTGAACCTCTTACACTTGTTGTTTGACGAAAGTGCACGGCGCTAATGCGACAACAACCTTTTGAAAACGAACCGCCCTCAATCCACGAAGATCTTGCAACGTGTTCAAAACGAATGTGCGCTGCGCTGGGGCGAAAACCACATTTTGAAAGCGAACCACCCTCAATCCGTGAAGCCCGTGAACTCTGATGAAACAATGCGCGCAGCGCTGAGGCGAAAAACAACTTTTGCACACGAGCTGCCCTCAGCACGTGAAACCCTTGCAAAGCTGTCACAGCAAATGTGCGTGGATTTAAGGCGAAGGCTAGACTTAAGAGACGAGCCACCTTCAATCATTGAAACTCCTGAACGCTTCGTTGTTAAAAAACAATTGGGCGCGGCACCAAAGCGAGAACAACATTTGAAAACGAGCCGCCTTCCATCCGTCCAACTCTTGCAACGCTTTCAAAACGAATGCGCGCGGCGCTGAGGCGAGAATCAAATTTTGAAAACCACCCACCCTCCATCCGTGAAAAATCTGGCAACATTTTGAAACGAATGTGCCCAGCGCAGGGGCGAGAGGCACTTTTTTGAAAACCAAGCGCCCTCAATCCGCGAAAAGAATGCAAATTTTTGAAACCAATGTGCGCGGCGCTGAGGCAAGAACCACAAACCGCCCTCAATCCGTGAAACTCTGGCCAACTTCTGAAGCGAACGCGCGCGACGCTAAGGCGAGAGCCACATCATCCTTCTGGTGGGGGAATGACGCTTCCCGGTGCGGGAAGCGTCATCCTGTTGCCGGAAGGGGGGGAGGCCTTACGTACTTTTTGAGGTTAGAGGAAGAGGAAGACAAAGAGGAGGAGGGGGAGACGGAGGAGGAGGAGAGAGGAGGGGAGAGCGGGGGAAGGCCCTGCAGGCTTCCGAGCAGCGGTGGT